CGTTGAAGTCGGCCAGATCAGGGTAAGTTCATTATTTCTTGTCTGGTTTTCATCAATCTTTTGACTCAAGCATCAGAATGAATGTTTAAATGCCAAATCTATCTGAACTTTAGACTGATTTGGTTATTGCTACATCAACTATTAGCCAATAAAGCCTAGCGCCGGGCGAACCATTACTATTCACAGAGTCATGTAAACAAAGCCATTGGATTAGCGTCAATGTCTCAAATACAGCGAGTAAAATAAGTATTGAACACTGAAAAGGTTTTTATATGGTTTTATATGTTTTATAGATCTCTTTATGTTTCAAATAAAGTTAGTTACAGTACATGACTTGTGTTTAGGTCTACTGACGTGTACAAAGGAGCATAGCGTGCAAGCAGGGAAAAAAACAACTTGCTAAGCAAACCAGAAGGACAAGTTTAGACAAGCAGTCTAACCATAAAATTTTCCAACACGCCCGAGTTTCTGGTAAAGAATGCATAAACAAGTATGACTAACACAGAAAGAATGTTTTCCTGTTGTCTAACTTACTACATGCCTCCAGCAACCAGCTTCTGATTGGCTTCTATATGACATGGCAACTGTCTCTGATTGGCTTCTATATGGCATGACATGGCAACTGTCTTATGATTCGACAAACTGGTTATGATGTAATTTCTATGTGTGTGAATAAAAGTGGAAGCACGGCCACAGAGCGGCAGAAATTTCTCTGGACTTGACTTCAGTTAAGTACTCTGAATTTCTCCCTTTGCAAAGTGTTTTGTTGAACTGTTACTGGTCTCTGATGTCTTTGTTTAATGTCTGGTGGGTTGTTGTGTATTAAGTCTCAGGTCAAAATACCGGACAAACACGTTACTATTTTTCTCAGTAAATATATTACTAGAGGTGCTAATGACATGAAATTTTCACCAGGTGTCAGTAACAACCCAAGCGATCCATACNGAAGTAAACACCTGATTCCAGCTTGGAGCTGAACCCAGCCGCTTCGAGGTGTTCAGTTTGTACCCACAAAGGGACCGCTCTGAAACCAGCGACACCGCTGGCACGGTTTCAATCACGCCCTGGTACCCTGGGACAATGATAAGACATCTGAATGGTAGGACAGACGTATTTTTCCTCTGTTATCCGGTGGTGGCTCAGCTGAGGTGGTGAAAATTCTGGATCGTTAAGTTGGTAGTAAGGAAGGTTTGGCGAGCTTAATTCATGCATAATTCACGTCCCCTCTTATATAGATGAATTAACAATTTCTTTTATTAACCTTTAAGTTTCTAATTTTTGTTAGTGTAGATTAGTTAAGTGT